AGTCGTCTTCCTCCGTGTAGCCGACCCAGCGTACGGCGTACGACCACTTCCCGCCATGACAGGCGTGTCCGTACAGCTCCTCGACGTCGTACACGGGGTCCTCTGTTGTGTCTGGGAGTTCTCCATGGTAAGGCTTGAGTCTACTTGTAAGGCCGAGTCAAGGATTTTCTCTGTAAAACTAATGATGTTTCTTTGGGAGCTGACACTAAGGTTTATATAGGAGAAAACATGGAAGCGGGCTTAGTCCAATGACTAAGCATAGCGTGATTATGCAGTCACATAGCCCGTGATTGGGCTACTGAAGATAGGGTCACGCGATCCTCGTATGACCTTTGCTGTAACGGACTGTAGGTTGGACCTCGTTAAATGAGGTCACAACAATACTCGAACCGACGAACAATCGTTCGAAGGTTCAGAGTTACCACTAAGCCACAGAGCCTTTCTTGTTTATGTCACGGTTCGAGGCCGGATATGTTTAGTTCTATTGAGGATTCCTGTTTGTTGGCTTCAAACAATGAATAACTTATTTCCTTTAACCTTTCGAAGCTTCGGTTAATAAACCTTAATTGTTATGATGCGCGCAATTGTTCTTGAAAGTTATTGTTGAAAGGAACAAGTAGTGTTCAACGGATTATAGCCATTGAACTCTTGCATATTTATATTAACTATTTAATTGATACTATCTTTTGTTACTAATTCGTATTTGTAATGTTTGTTAATTTTTGAGAAATAAAATTCAATAATTTTGCAAGTTGTGCAAATGTAAAAGCAATAACTCGGAATTGCTTCGTAATAGCAGTGAATGCTAGCGAATGCTTAGTCATTCAATTTAAGAAACCAATCAGTTGAATGATTGTTTCATTTCCAAGTTTAAAAGTACTCGGAGGCAATGACATAAGTTCATTTGCTCCGTGACATTGTTCTGTCACGGCACAAAACCGAAATAAAGTTTAGCTTCTAGTCAAGAACTTTATAGCGACTTTAAGCGACAAACTCTCCACTCTGAGCGACAGGTTATGAATTTAGGAAATGAAGTTTATTTAACCGAATTATCACTACTCGTAAGTATATGCACAAAGTGAATGGTACAAAGTACTTAGCAGTGAACGACTGGTCTTCTAGCGTTCACTGTTTTAGTATTTATATTAATAATTTAATATATAATCTTAGATTGGTTTTGTTGGATAACCAATTATGTTTTGTGATCAAAGATGTGAACTTTGAAATTTGTAAAAAGAGAAGTCACTAGAAATTTGCATCGAATAGGTTTGAAGCTTATTTGCAAATCTCAAACCTTTCGTGGATCCGCCACATCTTGGATTTTGTAAGGTCGAGCGAAGAATGTTCTGTAAAACAAGTGATGATTATTTGAGACTAAGACTAAGGTATTTATACTGAAGAAACGGTTCTTAGTCATAATGGTATGACTAAGCGTGGCGTGAATTATACAGTCATGAAGAGGTAAATTACGCGACTGCAATTGTTGTCACGCGAACCTCGTACGATGCCTGTAGCGATCAGAATCGCTGTTTGAAGTTGGCGATCGTATTTAATCGCATGCGCGCCGCTAGAGCGTATAAACTTTACAGATTTGATGTGAATTCCTAGTGGCCTTGACATATTCTGTCACGGCGGGATTCCGTGAAGGGTTTTGTTTCTCGTAAAAGAGCTATATTACGAATGCCCGGTGACAAACTATCTATCTCAGATAGGAACACCTTAATTGAATAAGCTTCGCTTAAAAGTCGTCAAGATAAGTTTAATGGATATTCACAATCTAAGGTAGACGGTGTGAAAACACTGTTAGTGAACGACTGAAGAATTCAGTCGTTCTTACAGTAATTTATATTAATAGAATTACCTAATCCCAATGTGGCTTTAAGAATCCCCTTTTGTGGCTTGCTCTGACAATGACGTTTGAGTCATGCCAATATCGAGGATTCCGAGGGTTTCCCTTGGAGCCATTACATATTACTAGGACATGGAACTGTCTAGGTAAGTCCCTGTTCGGGGTCAGGCTTACGAAGCAAAACGGGAAAAACTATTTGTCCTGCAAAAACGCTTTGCTTGCGTAAGCTGAAACGTTCCAACACCTTCTAGAATACCTTATTCTACAGGGTATAAATAGTTTCATAATTATTACTAATAGAACAAGCTTTTTCTTAAATACAAATTTAGGAGTTCCTTACAGAAGGATGTTCTGAAAACTGATGATGTTTCTTTGGGAGCTAACACTAAGGTTTATATGCGAGAAAACATGGAAACGGGCTTAGTCCAATGACTAAGCGTGGCGTGGTTATGCAGTCACGTAGCCTGTGATTGGGCAACTGCAGATAAGGTCACGCGATCCTCGTATGGCCTTTGTAGCGACCACAATTGCTTCCCGAAGTTCTGCGATTATTTTAGTCGACTTTGGTCACCCGCTATTGGCCGTAGCGTTGCTGACGTCACAGATTCTGTAACGCTATTTAGCTCAAAATAAACAATTGAGAATCCAACCCGTGCTGTCTACCAAAGGTATGCGCAATGACGACTGTAAGCCCAGGTATCAAGATTGTAAGACTCAGTCCGTAGGTCAGAATAAGATTAGTTTATTCTCTATAAAATGTAGCTATTTAAGACAATTTGACGCGACGCGTAAATGTAGACAAACGCGTCGCGTCGCAGCGCGCGTGTCCCGGGAGGTCTGAAGGTCTTACTGCAGCTCGTTGCAGTTCGTTTGGGCTGCCTTGGGCTTGGTGGTGATCGCCCAGATTTAGGCTTTCGCCTAAATGAACCTTAATGCTTACAAAGATAAAGTATGAATTATAATACTGTTTCCTAGCTACTTATAATGTTGCACATTAGTGAGGACTAATGTGCAATCCGTATTAGAGCATACTACGCTATGCGGCCTTACACACACCGCGGGACCTAGCGTTACAAATTCTTATTCCAATTGTTATGCTTCGTTGCGAGGCCTGAATCCGGTTAACCGAGTAGTTTTGAGGGCAAAACGGACCCTGTTGTCCTCGTCTAATTTCTGCGCTTTGCGTAAAGGTCCCTCCGCCGGCCGCCTATTGACCACCCAACCTTGTAACAAGGGAAAAGGCCGAGGCCGGAGCATTTTGGGAACCATCCCGAGGCCCCGTAGATAGCTCAATGAAATTGCTCGACCCATACACCGAAGAGTCAAACCAAGGGGAGGAGGAACAGAGGGAGTTGGAGGTCAGTTTTTAACTGGTATCAATTGCGCCGGCAGTGTCATCACCACCACACAGGTCAACTGCGAGCTGGAAGGCCTCCCGGATACATGGTGCTTGATATACCTCTTGTTAAACAACTTCGTCAAACGGCACGAGCTGAACACACTCGCAACGGAAGCACGGTTGGTGCAGCTCGCAATGAAGACGGAGGAACGCGGGTACATCATGGAACACACGTTGCCTCTTTGTCTACGCGTGGGCGACATCGAGACACGAAAGAGTTTCTTTGTTGCCCCAAACGACTTGGATCAAGATGCCATCCTTGACACCACGTTTTGGAACCAGTACCGGAGGCAACACTCAAATAATTATTACTAATTCTAAGCCTTTTATACAAGCAAGTACGAAGTGCAACGCGTGTTGCAATAGCTCGCGAATAATAGTTGACCGAGGGTCAACGTACCACATTAATTGGGGCCAACGTCTGTAGTTCTGGAAAAGGAAAAGTGCTAAGCCGTTACAATGATCCCTTGTGAGCGTTGCATCGAAACCAAAATTCTAATTAAGTGTTATTAAATACCCATAAGTGTCCGACCCGTGCTTTTAATGAAATGTACACTTTAAGCGCGGGCTTATGCTAAGCTATGCTGAGAGGGCTCACAATGCTGTTCACGTAAGCGTCTATTAGCGTAACACGGTTGGCGTAATATAATCCTTTGTATCCACGCGTAACTGTCAATTCAGTCTCAATGATTACATTCGCATTACAGAATTCAATTTATTGACGGTACGAAAATGATTCTCTTTTACGGTAGTGGTGTAAAATATGTTAAAATAAAGTAAAACATTTTTTTCAACGATGTCCAAGTTATATCGGCATTGGACGAGACAAATTTTGTTTTTCTAAACACACATTTCTCTACATAAAGGATCCTGACTACTCGTATTCATTCGATAAGCCTTCAGTATGGCCAGCTAGCATTGTTACATTACTAGTACCTTTTTTTACGTTCCTACTTGAACCACTTTCTTCGTTGGAGCGCAGGACGCCACGTTTAAGCCAATTTCCCTAATTTAGTATTCGCTTTTATTAATAATCCCACCCGTGTTTTCCAACACAAACATATACCAACTCATATCCGTATTGAGCATAACAAATAAGATATCTACTATTATACGCGTAAGCCTAGGTTGACTTTTTTATGACAGTAAAAGATATAGTTATGAGGACTCCAAAATTAAGAACTTCCAGAAAACGGGTAATGTCCTATTCTTCCCATTCCATTCGTAGTTATCATAACCAACAAATAACAATTTGCAACAGTTTTTTGTTTTTTTATGAAGTTATATACTTTAAATAAGCGCAAAGCAGTTACCAAAGATTTTTATCAACAAAACGTACTTCAAAGGCTGTACAGCATGAGTGAAGAAACAAGTACTGTAATAAAATTAAAAAGAAAGAACTAAGTCTGGACCCATTGGTTAACAAAAAAATATTTATCATTTCTTGTAAATCTATTAACCGTAGGGTAATAATAACATGGGCACTAACATCCTAATCCCAATTGATTTATAACAAATGCTTTACGTGTTACTACAAAGCTCAGTGAGTAGAATAGTTCTGATAAGCTCTAAACCCTTTCAAAATTATTCTTTATAAATCATTTACTAGTTTTTACTTACTTTTTCATGTGTATAAAAATATAATTCTATTGATACAGCTGTATTATTTTAATGAAGTGATCCTTAATCCTGCTAAGATTGAGAAACTCCTACCCACTTGACCGAAGGGTGCTTGTTTGGTATTCTCCTTGCTTAAGCTCTCCTGCGGTGGCGTTGCTCTAATTTTTGAGCCAAATAATCAATACTTTGGTACTTGCTTAGTTCTGCCAGCTTTTGCCAGGATAACTTTGTAGATTGAGGTAATGAATACCAATATTTTGCTGCGGCGACTGAAATACCGGCCCAGTCTCCGGCTTCTGATAGTTTTTTATGAAGT